TATTTGACTAAACTTGCTAATTATTTATACACTTATATAACACTTCTCCTCATTTGCGTTTGAGTTCAATCTTTTCCTGTAAACCTGAAAAACCAAATATCTCCGACTTTTCCCTAGCATAAAAATTTTGTTTCTGCTAAAGTCACATTTTTCTTATAAAGAACTTGATATATTGAATAGTTATGTTGGAATATGAGGTTTTTTTAAATTAATTAAGTGAATATTGTTTTCTCGAAACCATTGCTTGTTTTATGTGATATTATTGTATAAAAACTAAATATATATCATTCAAATGTATTTGAATGTCATATGATAAAGAATATAAGAAATGTGTTTTATACAACTGAAATGAGAAGCCACATTAAATATCGACATCCAACAGTTTTCATGACTGATTCATTTGATTGATTGATTGATTGATTGATTGATTGTTGTTTGAGGCACTTACAGCACTAAAGTGCTATTTCGTGGCGGTCGGTTTTAATTGGTTGAACAGCCTGACTGCCCGGCAGGAATCATCGACCTAAGGTAGGAAAACAGACAATCCTATTCAATCAAGAGTCAAGCACTTGCTGGAATAGTTCTCATTAAACATTCAAATAATGAATGTTATTAAATGTGTAGTACACTTATTTTCTGTAACGGTACTATTTTTACTGCACTGGATTCGCATTTCAAAATAATATCACAAGCAATGGTTTTGAGATTTTTTGGTGGGGTTCGTGTGTTCAGTCTTTGCTCTTCTATGTTGTGTTTTGTGTACTGTTGTTTGTCTTTTTGTCTTTTTCTGTTTTAGCCATGGCGTTGTCAGTTTATTTTCGACTAATTAGTTTGAATGTACCTTTGGTATCTTTCGCCTTTCTCTTAGTATCCCTTCAGCGATCATCATGGCCATACAAATAAACATCTTCACCATCAGCCGAAACCGAAATAAAAATAAACACAAAAACAAAAGCCGAATTCAATGATAGTTGAGTGGGTTGAAATTCTCCTCTTTAAATTTCCGTGTGAATTTAATCGGTATATTCGTTTATTTTGTTTTAAATCATAAAGTATTATATGATGATCACTTGAAATTTTTCGGAGCACATGATATCACCCAAGTTTTGGTTGGGTTAGTGTTGCTCAGTTTTTAGATGTCTATGTTGTAATTTGGTTTCTGTTGTTTGTCTTTTGGTCCTTTTCGTTTTACATTGTGTTCTCATTTTATTTGCGACTTATGTGTTTAAATGTCCCTTTGGTATCTTCAGCCTCTCTTTAACTCGTCAATTCAATTTTTGGAAACTTCTACTGAATACACTGGTACGACGTATATACCATTTAATATATCGATAAAGCAAAATAGGAGACAAAATTGAACAGCACTGAGAATCCAAAATTCCGAATGGTTTTGTAAAATACAGCTAAGGTAATATATTCATGGGCAAGAAAATCCTAACTATATCGAAAATTTAAAAGTTTTGTAAACAGTATAGTTATAGTTTATGTCAACACAGAACACAGAAGTGTTGACTACTGGGCTGGTGATACTATAATATAAATTAGAGGCTTAGAGCTTTTGTCGCTCACCTAGGTCTATATGCACCTTTAACATCGGAAACTATCTGACACTGTAGACTATAACAGAATTCACGATTAAAATATCTTCGATGTTGAACATGTGGTGCTTATAATTATTTCTGTTGACAGTTTTTTTCTATCTTATAGATTTTGATCAAATCACAAATAAGGGCATAGTATTAGCTGCCTATACGATATGACTCTTTTTCATTTTTAAAGGCTGAGCGGTGACTTATAATTGCTTTTATCTCCGTTACTTGAACTTTGCTGAAAAGTTGTCTTATTTGCAATCATACCGAATATTCTTTTTTTGTATTATGCTGCATGAATAATTTAGACACGAATAAAGAGAACCACAGACAAGGTTCCAAAAACGTAGCCTCCACATGATTGTTTGCTCTTTAAAGTTTCTCCCTATACATAAAATTTTCAAGGTAAAAGGCAAACACATTAAAAAGGTAAACACCGTTATTGAATGTCAATCACTCCAATATGGAGCAGACTGACACTTTTATCCACGTTGACGTAATTTAAGATCTTGTCTTCCTGATAATATTTTTCAAAAATGTTTTATTGTACAGGTTTTCTCTATCTATTATAGTTTTTAAGATTGAAGGCAAAAACACACAAAATGTTGGTTCACAACCGAGATCATAGAACACATTTTAAACGAGTTAACCAATGGTGTTGACCAAGTAGTTTCAGAGGATAAAAGATTTGTAAAAGATAACGGACGACAATTGACACCGACGGACGACGACGACATCCAAGTGAAGGAAAATAACTAAAACTGGCCTTATTGGCCAGATGAGCTTATAAATACTAATGGATCAAAACAGGAAAGAAAAATCTAATCCGTACTACACACTGATATCGGTTGTTATATTCAAGATTAGATCTTTACAGTAATTTTATAGATGGTACTGGGAGAGGCAAACGCATGCAATGGTAACAAAGAACCTGCACATATTTGCAACATGTTTAACGCAGAAAGTATTAAACAGTTATTAAGTGGAGCTTTATTACAAAAAATGTATCAATATACTAAAAAAAATCTTTGAACTCTTTTTTTAATTCAGTAATGAAGATAGTGGATATACGTATACAACATTTTAAAGAACATTTTACTCTTAACAACAACCATAAAAATCCTATCTCTCGTATCAAACATAAACTAAAAGAACTAGCCAAGGAATTTGTTTTGTCCCGGCTGATAAAGCTGCTAATAATATCATTATAGTTTGACGTAAATTTTACATTGAGGTTCTGCAAAAGGAAATCACGAATTCACCAACATTCCAACTGACTTCATTTTCAGAAAACGATATCTGTAACAAACATAAACTATTAGCTACTTCTTTACAAGCAGAACCAAATACAATGAAAGTCCCAACTATGTGTAGGCTTCCGAAGCTACACAAATCACCTTACAAATATAGATTTATTTTGTCTTCAAGTCATTGTTCCACTACTAAATTGTCTATTCTTCTTACTAGTACACTTGGTACAATCAAAAACCTGATAATAAATTGTTCAAATAAGGCCTTTGAAAATAGTGGAATTAACTACTTTTGGAGTGTCAAAAACTCGTTGGAAGTACTTGATAAATTGCATGCATATATTGGTGATTTTGAATCTGTTCAAAGTTTTGATTTTTCTACCCTATATACCACTTTGCCTCATATTCTTATTAAGAAAAAATTCACACACCTAATTAAATGGACATTTAAAAAGTCGGAATGCGAATACATATGTTCAAACTCTTTTAGGTCATTTTTTAGTAGCAACAAACAAAAGAGCTATGTCAATTGGACAAGCTTTGATACTATATCTGCCCTTGATTTTTTACTTGATAACATTTTTGTTCGCTTTGGAGATTCCGTATATCGTCAAGTTATCGGAATTCCAATGGGGACTAACTGTGCACCACTTATTGCAGACCTGTTTTTGTATTGTTATGAGTTACAATTTATGACTAAAATCAGCAAAGACCCATCGAAACAACATCTGATACAAAAATTTAACAATACTTTTAGATATTTGGATGATATATTGGCTCTCAATAATGACAACTTCAGTATGTATACTAAAGAAATTTATCCTGTTGAACTAACTTTAAATAAAGCTAATACTAACAATGACCACTGTCCTTTCCTCGATCTTGATATCTATATCATTAACGGGAAGCTTAATACAAAAATTTATGATAAAAGAGATGATTTTTCATTTCCTATCGTTAATTATCCATTTTTAGATGGTGACGTTCCCTTGTCACCATCTTATGGTGTTTATATATCTCAACTTGTACGATTCGCTCGTGTATGTAACAACGTATTAGATTTTAGCGAGCGAAATTTATATATTACTGAAAAATTATTACACCAGGGTTTTCGATATCATAAACTAGTCAAAACATTTACTAAATTTTATCATCGGTATAAGGACATCATTCGTAAATATAACTCAACATGCAGACATCTTATACGTTCGGGTATTTCACATCCAATCTTTTATGGTAATATTCTTTACAAAGCACAAAAATGTCAGTATTCACCTTAAAATCTAACAAAACCTTTAAACAGACTTATTAAGAAGGGTTATAGTTACGATACTGTTGTCAGGTCATTAAAGATTGCATATTTTGGCTTTAATATTGATTCACTTATAGGGTCTTTGCATCGGAATTAAACATTTTTATTCTAAAACCAGTTGTTGGCATGACACGGGTTATGTTCTTCTCATATATGTTATGACGGTATAATACTAAACCCCTAACAGGAGGGATTGGGCTTGATATTCATATGATGAAAACATAATCTTTTAATCAGTTTAATTGAGGTCTGGAGCTGGCATGTCAGTTACTGCTAGTAGTCTGTTGTTATTTATGTATTATTGTCATTTTGATTATTTTCTTTTGTTTCCTATTCTGACATCGGACTCAGACTTCTCTTAAACTGAATTTTACTGTGCGTACTGTTGTACGTTTGTTTTTTCTACATTGGCTAGAGGTATAGGGGGAGGGTTGAGATCTCAAAAAACATGTTTAACCCCGCCGCATTTTTGCGCCTGTCCCAAGTCAGGAGCCTCTGGCCTTTGTTAGTCTTGTATCATTTTTAATTTTAGTTTCTTGTGTATAATGTGGAGTTTAGTATGACGTCCATTATCACTGAACTAGTATACATATTTGTTTCGGGGCCAGCTGAAGGACACCTCCGGGTGCGGGAGTTTCTCGCTGCATTGAAGACCCATTGGTGGCCTTCGGCTGTTGTCTGCTCTATGGTCGGGTTGTTGTCTCTTTGACACATTCCCCATTTCCATTCTCAATTTTGTAGTATGCGCAAAGTAATGTTCATATAAAAATCAAACATTTTTAATAGAACCATGCTAATAAAACCAACAAAATAGAAAAAGAACGGACAAAAAATAGGTCAAATTCCGTAAAACGTGATTAAAATTTTTTTATTGGAATTTACATCTTGATTAATTAAAGGAAAAAAATCCTTTTATGTTTCGTTGAATTCCATTTCAGGATTATACATGTTTAAGACAGCATTGATGAACATGTAACGTTTTGTTCAGTGTAATACGTTAGTAACATGAGTAAGGTTGGTATTCTTGACATAATTAATCATTGGAAAATTTAACTAATTTACACAGACTCCCAGATACATCTTTTACTATTTAAAATTATACAACTTAAGCTACACTCTCGTCTATTTCATCAATAGGTGTTTCTAAAGAATAAATTTTAGATTTGCTTCTAGATCCTCTTAAATTGAGTTCTATACCAAATGGCATTTTAAGTGGTCTTATTGAGATCATATGCAAGAGTCTTTCTCTTAAAGACATTCTTCTGTCGTCGGGTTCGTCATAAATGTGTGTACTTTTAACGTTTATTCTCTCTGAATATGGTAAAACCGGAAATGCACTGTCATTCCTTCTAAATACGCACTCATCTTTGTTGGAATCAACAGTAGAATTCGCTACGTCGTTACTTGTATTACTTTGATTATCCACATCAGAGTCGAATACCAATTGTTGATTGTTCAATTGTGTTTTCAAAGCATCACAATAATCACTTGCTCGGCATTTTAATGTTGGACTACCAGATCGTGAGACGCGCCTTTTGATTAAGGATTTTCGCATATTTTGACCCTTTTGTACAACGCTTTTGCTAATCTGAGAAAATAATTTGTTCACTTTAGACGTTGCCGTGTCCCATGGCTGTTCGAAAAAACTGACCACATTAGCTCTGACATGTTCGTATTCACTGTTGTCTGCAAAACGAGCTGCTGTTTCAGATCGCAACGTGAAGTCAAGATGGTGATATTCACCGTTTTCTGTCTTTTGATGATTTGTGTTTTGGCAAGATTCGGTTGCACAGAAACGTGGTCCTTCCACTTCATTTGATGTCGATGCTATGTCTACAGGATCTGAATAGTTATCAGCTAAAACAGTAGTTGGTTGATGTGAATGCCCCTTTACGGCCATGACAATATTTTCTTCTGACCTTGAAATAGGATATGTATATGTTTCCCTATATAAAATAAATTGAAGACTTGTGTATGTTTACATTTAGCTGTCATTGTTATTTGTGTGGTTAAAATGCAGCCCTGTTGATATCATATGACTCATTATTATTTGTTGGGTACCAATTGTTCATGGATATTGAATGAACTATTCAATAAGGTATATAGTTCTTTTAGGGTTGTTTGAGAACTTTGACAGGACAGAACAAGTACCAACGAAAATACAACTTTTTGTCAGTCCATGGAAATTGGTCACGAAATAAATCATCCATAGCAATCACTTTATCTCAAGTCTAAGGGATCTGAATGATTTTTAACCAAAATAAAAGTTCATTTATCGTTAAAGGTTTCTAATCACAATTTTGGTTTTCAAATATGTCAATATGTCGGGTAAGGATTTTCCTATGTGATACAGAAGTATATCATTTTAACTTGCCAAGGACTTTCTTATGCGAGTGAATATATAATATCAGTAAAACTGAGAATTGACAATTGTTATTGACAAGTAAAACATAAAACGTAATTTTCATATGTTTTTGTTTTTGTTTTTGTATGACCTAGAAGATAGATATGATGCTCAAGACTAGATATATTCAATGACAAAACAAACTAAGTGCTACTGTGGTGCAAACATACATTGTATGTTACCTTGCTTTTTTTCGCCGACAGTGAAACTTATAAAAGTAGGAAGATATGGTATGATTGCCAATGAAATAACTCTCCACAAGGGACCAAATAACACAGAACTTTACAACTATAGTTCACCGTACGGCCTTCAACAATGAGCAAAACCCATAGCGCATTGTCATCAATAAAAGGCCCCAAAAATGACAAATGTAAAACAATTGCAACGAGAAAAATAGAGGCCTAATTCAAGTACAAAATAATGAACGAAAAACAAATATGTTACACAGCAACAAACGACAACCACTGAATACATGTAACAGACTTGAAACAGGCACATACAGAATGTGGCGGGGTTAAACTCGTTTGAAGGCGCCAACTCTCCCCTAACCTGGGACACTGGTGTAACAGTACAATAAAAGAACAAACTATAACAAGAAGCTCTCAAGAGCCTGAATCGCTCACCTGTAATTTTTTGCTTAAATTTTTCGTCAATGATTATTTTTGTTTTTCAGTATATTTTAATGAGTGGCTTTGCCATTTTAATGTTCTTTGTATCTGTCATATTTTATTCAAAAGCAAAAAAATGTATTTTACCCCTATGTTCCATTTAAGCCATAGTGGCTATATTTCTTGACGTACAAGGAAATAAATATACAAAATTTATACTAGATACTCTGAAACTCATTCAGCCCAAGTTTGGCTGAAATTGATTCAGCAATTTCAAAGGAGAAGATTTTTAAAGTAAGCAAACTAGATGAACAAATTGCGAAAAATTGTCTTTAAAGGACAATAACTCTTTCAGGGGTCAATTGACAATTTTGGTCATATAAAACTTATTTGTAGATCTTACTTTGCTGAACATTTTTGCTGTTTACAGTTTATCTTTATCTATAATAATATTCAAGATAATAACCCGATAGATACCCGATTTGGCTGATAATTTCAGGACAGGTAGACCTTGACCTAATAATACTTTAACTTTTTGTCTGATTTGCTCTAAATGATTTAGTCTTTGAGATATAAGTCAAAAACTACATGTAACCTACGATCTATTTTTAGCCATGGCGGCCATGTTTTCTGAGGAAACAAAAAATAAAGCACAAACTTTGTTCTAGATAACCTAAGAATCATTCAGCTTAAGTTGTGTTGGAATTGATTCGGTAATTTCAGAGCAGAAGATGTTTGAAATATATTACACCGGATGGACGACGACGGCGACGACGGCGACGACGGACGCCAAGTGATGGCAAAAGGTCACATTTCCTTTGGAAAGGTGAGCTAAAGATCAGATAAAAAAGCTTATCTTTTCCGATTGATACAATTAGAAATACATCTAACAAAAACACAAAGTGAACGTTGACCGGTACATAAGCATTAACACAACACAAACACACTAAGTACAGATCTGAGAATACTCGCAGTTACTAACAGCTAGTTCAAAGCCAATAACAACTAATGAAAAAAATCATGCATCTAAGACAATGTATCAATCAGTACGCTGTTTGTATGTCTGTACTGTTTATCAAAAATGTAAGAAACAAAGACTTGAAATAGATTTTTGTCTTTCTTTTTCCGTTAGTTTAAATGGGAGCTTTGTGCAGAACTTATGAGTCAAACTAGCCAATTCCAGCTAAATTGTACAGTTTTTCATTATGTAGTAATGTTACACGCCGTTCTCAGTATAGGTAAGGGTTGATGGTTTAAATCCTTTCGCATTATTTGTTCCTTCATCCCAATTGACGTCACATTACTTAGAAAGTTTACTTTATCATGAGACGGATTTGAATAAATAAAGACGGTCCTGACATCATGGACACATATTCGAGGCCGGACATACATGTGATTATTAAGTTACATATATATTTGTCTTTTTAAATATGAATATATATACAAGGTAAACGTGTATTGGACCACACACATAAGATTTGAAAAAGAGCTTTCACCGACTTCAAAAATTATAAAATATGTCGTGTTGAGAATTATACTGGGTGTATGAAGTATGAAAATACGATTCCATCAAAGTGAAACTTTAAAGATCAACACCAGGTCTTGAAATTAATAATAATAGTATATTATAACAAAAAATAGTCCGTGACGATGTACTTGCAAATGTGGAGGTGTTAAATAGGTGGTAAATCACAAACCTCTTTTTTTTAAATCTCGATCAGTAAGAAGCACAGTAGAACATAGAATGAAAATTTACCACAGGAAACACACTACTTTGAAATGGTATAAAAGACAGCAAAAACAGAAAAGAATAGACACAATTACACTGAGCAATATCGTACATTTGCACTATATAAAATAAGGTTCCAAGTTCCAAGAGTATTCTGAACGCAAGCTAGAAAAAAACTACCGACAGCAAGGTAATAAAACCGACGCGTGTTATTATGACAGAATATGATAACGTCCTATATTTACTATGTAATATCGGTTGCTGGACATAATTAAAAAAAGTTCATACAAGAATGTAAAAACAGTTCCTAGTACAAACCATGTTGGTTTTACGTAACTTTAAATTTGCGAAATATTTACCTACAGTAATACAAATAAGTATACCATAGACTTTTGTTTTATCAATCTACATTAAAGACTGTATGGTTATATGTACATGTCATTTTGTTATGTATTTCTTTCGGTAGTTGCATATTTGAAATATAACCGACACTTCAATGCTTCAATTCACACTTCAAACCTAAGGCCAATTATCAGAGCTTATTCGTTTTTTTCACAATTTAAAGAACCGAACCACAAAGAAAATTAGAATGTAAACTATTTCAAAGCAACACTTTTTTTAGAAGCATCTAAAATTTTTCCGTCCGTTAAACCAAAAACCAATCGACTATTGTTCTTTATTGACTCTTTGTTCAGTTTGAAACAATATGTTCTGAATATTCATGCTTACCTTTTTGGTCTGTATATGCAGCAAGATAATGTTGCGATTAAAAGTACAAAACATGACACGCTTATAGCAATGCCTGTAAGAAAAGAGCATCACAATTATATGAAGACATAACTACTCTTTTATAAATTTGGTCAATTTTACTCATTAAACATAGTCATGACAGGACATTTAGTAGTTAATAAAATGATACAAAAATGGATATTAATCGCAATTTCCTTCAAATATCTTCTTGTATCTATTTGGTTAAGGTGAGCATACAACCATTCATTAAACAAATTTCTTTTTCTCTTCAGACAGTATTTTAAATGGCATTAGCTACAATTTAGATCCAAAAAAAAAAATCAAAATACAATTTATACATTTATAAAAGCGGAATATTGAAATAATCAGCCGTCAGTTTGGTTCATTTTTTGTCAAACTAAGGTCAAAAACATCGCTGATATATTATTGATATATTATTAATAATTATATTATTAATATTTCAATTCGTTTAAATCTTCATTCATTTGAACTTCACACCAAATGCCCATTTAAAAAGCACCAAAGCAATTGTTTATATAATGGCGATACTTTTCCAAATTGGTTTTGGTATTGATACATGAATACATAGCAAAAATGGGCTTCTACATAATACAATGTAAGATTAATCATATTTTTATAACCGTTATTTATATGCTACCTTGACCGATGCACCCACGCACTGCACAACATACTTTAGTGCGGTAGGATAGATACTTGGTGGCCAAGCGGTTTAGTAGTCAAATTACTGTAGCAGTAGCCTGTCAACACTGAGGTTGTGAGGTCATTTCGGGCACTCCGGCTTCCCCTCCCTAAAAACTTACCGCCACAAAAAAAACTCAATAGTACTGAAAGTGGCGTTTAACACAAATCAATCAATCAATCAATCGTTCATTTTTTTTATGAAACCTAAGGATTCCAAGCATGTTTATCACACATGAAAACATTTATGTGCAAGTGACAGAGTGTTAACCTAGTTAATGACAGAACAACATGGTTCCAGTAACATTGTTTATTAACCAAAAAAATCGATTCAAACAGAATAATCACATTCAAGTCTGTACCAATCACGACATATGTTTTCTTGATCTTAGGTATCTAAATACCAGAATACTTCCAATCTATGCATTCATCGATTGTTTTCTATTCCCGATAGTGAAATTTCAATGCTCTCTAGCTTCTTTTCGAAAGCATGGGATTCCATCAGTTTTTGTATTTTACTTTGATTTCTATCATTTGAATGGATCAATGAGATTTTAATATTTTGATATTTACATCAATTGAGTCGGTTGAGAAGTAAACTTTACTACAACAATCTTTTATTTTTCTTATTGTAAACTTTCCATTTCTCTGTAGCAGCGTCTGCAAATAGATATCTTGTACGATGTTCAAGGGCGTGCATTTTCTTTCAATATTTGTCTATCAGGGTAAACTACTTTAAAAGAAGATGTTGTATCAAGACTTCCAAGTGGTTACGTTGAAATAATTCCCTTGAACGTTTTATGGACCCCATCATGATTTATTTGCCGTTAGATAACGATTACCACAGTTACCGAAGGAGTTCGTGTTGCTCAGTCTTTGGTGTTTTATGTAACATTTTGTGAACTTGTGGGTATTTTCGTTGTTTAGTGCCATGGTGTTGTCAGTTTCTATTCAACTTGCTTCAATTTAAATGTTCCCTCCGTACTTGCAACCCCTTTCTAATGGAAGAATGTGTTCCATTTGGTGTAACAAAAAACCCACCACTTTCCAGCGATTTTGACATTAACAAAAGCAAATCATTACTCGATTTTATCTTTTAGTTTGCAACACAACATGTGCCACATGAAGAGAAGAAACTGCTAACCTTTCCGGAGCACCCAAACGTTCATTCCCAGTATCTCCTTTATTTTTTTTCACTCAAGGTTAAAGTTCAAAGTTGATGTTGTTAATATACAAATTGATATATACAATACCTATCTGCAGGACAAAAACTGAGTTATCGAAGAGAAAAGGGTTGTTTGTCGTATTGAACTCATATCTTGATGTCGAATTTTCAATTGTAGAGTCGCTTTTGCTTTCCACTTGTGTTGGCATTATTGTTTTCCATTCTGCTGAGTTCTTCTTTGAATCAAACGTATAGTCTGAACCAGTTGGACTGCTAGTACTTGGATTATGTTCTTTTCCTGTATGACTGTCATCATTTCCGCTATCGACTTTGTATATGACTAAAACGAAATTGTCATTTTACAAACTTGTCTCAATTTAGATAATATCAAAATCTTATGCAGTTTATATTCTTAATTGTTGTCCATATTTTTATTGAGCATGCATACATGGCTACATACATCATATTGTTTTATTCACGGTCCGCAATGAATATATGAAGGACCACTTTATGATCTTACGCTCAGTTTTATCTTCGGAAGGTTAATTATCACGAATGGTTGCTGCTGTATTTTAACATATACATTCTTATCTAAGGTGTAAAAGCATTTGAAAAACTAGAAAATGTATTAAGAAAAGGATATTTCGAGAGTTTCTTAACAATTCTAAGGGAATATATTGATTAGTTGTTAGTGGTTTTTCTATAAATTTTTGATTGCTGAAAGACCTTACGGTAACTGTCAATGTGATAAGTAAAAAGTCAGTTTATTAGTATGGCTATATTATGTTTGATTTTTGGTTAACCCATTTTTGCTCAACTTGCTAACTACATGAGGTATAAGAGATTTACAATCAGTTGGTGACTTCGACCCGACTCTAAGAGTATATATAACAATAACAATGTACAAAAATACGAGGGCGATCTAAAGATTATAAAAAGATTATATTGTATATTGTTTCTTCATTTTTATAGCATGTATTGTAGTCGGCTATTCAGCAATAACACAACACACTTCAACTTTTTGGCATAAAGGTGTTCCGATAACTATAATATATTTTAGTTTGCTGAATACATGTTTCACAAATACTAGGGTTTTTTTTTTGTTATGAGTCTTTTGAGTTTCCTACACTCTTTCTGTTGGGTTATATCTATTGTCTTTTAAAAGACGTCACAACACGATATATTCATACCCGACTTCATATATATTTCGATTGATGAAGGAAGGTTTTTAATAAATCATTTTAGTTTTAAACCATTTATGTCTTACTGGATTTCTATGCTTTTGATCAGAGTACGTATTGTTTCGTTCATCATACTTTACGTTATAGCTGAGTGATTCTAACTAATCGTGGACTATATTCATGAAAGATAATATAACAATACTATAACCTTTTACGTCTATCTATCATGAATTTGTATAGATTTCGTAAAAATGTCGTTTAGATATTAAGTAAAATAACAAAATTACCGAACTCCAAGGAAAGTTCCCCATCAAATGGCAAAATCAAAAGCTCAAACACATTAAACGAATTGAAAACAAATGTCATATTCCTGACTTGGTACAGGCATGTAGAAAATGGTGGATTAAACCTGGTTTTATAGCTAGTTAATTCTCTCACGTGAACGACAGTCGCATAAGGTTCTATTGACAACAATGTGTGAACAAAACATACAGACATAAAAGGTAAACATGTTAAAAATAGGGATGCAGCAGACACCATCGTGTATAAATCTTAATCCCTATGACAACAAACAAATAAAATCAAAAAACAAAAAAAACAAAATCGCATAAGACAAAGCACATAAGCAAGAAATGAAAGACAAGAATACAAAAATTTACCATAGCACAATATCACCATGACGGGATAAATAAGTACCGAGCCACGTCGAATGGATATTACCAAAAATAGACTAAACAGGAAAAGTAATAACTTACAAAAACAATTAAAAGAACACTATAACACCTAGTTATGATGATAAACAACGCCAGTACCTAGAATCTATACTTCAAGACAATCGTGTAATATTTGTGAAGTTGATACGAAATATTTATCAACAAGGTCTTGGTCTCTTCCGATGAACTTTTTTAAGAAAAAGGACGAAATGTTCTTTGACATAACCCTGGTTCATCAACTTTCTGCTCAGACACTAGTGACGTTATATAAAGTCTGAGAAGCGGCTGCAATTCTTTAGATATATTTTTTTATTGGTACTAACATTGATTTTACGTCTTATAATTAAAACATAACTAAATATATATTGCTATACTAGTATATGAACAGTTATGATAATTTTATCCTACATCCTGTAGATACTGCTTACTTATATCATGCGTTTCTAGATCGTTTATGACATATTTACACTAAATCTGTTGGATTTGTACTGATTGATACTTAATCATGGGGAACATGATTTATTCATTAGTTGTTATTGGCTTTGAACTAGCTTTCAATAACTCTTATTTCGGTACATTGTGTCAGTTGTTTTTATGTTATTTGTTTTTGTACCTCGTACCGATATTTACCGAGTTAAGCCAATTGCTACTTAGTTTTACAGTGTATTAAATGTTGTGATTTTACACACCTGTCCAAGGTCAGGGGAGGGTTGAGCGCTAAATAAACATGTTTATCTACGCCATATCGTTATGTGCCTGTCCCAAATCAGGAGCCTGTAGTTCAGTGGTTGTCGTTGGTTCCTGTCTGTTATATTTGTTTTTCGTACAATATTTTATTTTTATTTTTAAGGACATTAATTTACTCGTCTAAATTACTTCACATGTTTCTTGTCGGTAAGTTTGATAGCCAACTATACGGTATGCTTTGTTTACATTGTTAAAGGCTGTACGGTTGTACATAATTTGCTCACATCCACCCTGGTTGATAGTTGTCTTATTGGCAATCATACCACACCTTCTTTTTTATCAATCCAAAATGTCTTAACAGAAAGTTGTGATTATATTAAAAAACCGACACGGATGAAGATAATAAACAATGTCAAAACGTTCAGGCTTTAATTAAATCTGTATAAGGGTAAGTTGATGTAAGCATACGATCTGTATTGTGTATCATACTATTAAAGGCAGATAATCTTTAACGACTATATTACATTATTGTGTAAACACGTTACTAAGTAATTATGAGCTATGAAAGTCAAGTAGTTCGTGCACCTTTCTGAGTAAGTTTTAAAAAAATTCAAACACATATACTTTATTGTGGGTTAGCATTCGTTAGCTGTCGCTATCCTATAGATTAACAACTGTTGGTTATATTGATTATTTAGAATCTTCATTGAAGGTGGAGCACGAATGGTGTGTTAATTAATTCTTTTGATGTGTCATTTGTATGCAAGAGTGGCATCCCTTTTTGCTATGTTCAATTCGCAAAAGTATATTGAATTTATGCGTGTATTATCTCCCTTAAACCGGCTCATAGTTTTATATTTACGTATAGTTATTTGATTTAATTTTAGAAAATGACAAATTTCAGTAGATTTTAGATTTTATTATTGGTTTATTAAAGACATTGAGGTCTGGAGCTGGCATGTCAGTAACTGCTAGTAGTCCTTTGTTAATATATGTATCATTGTCCTTTTTCTTAGTTTCTTTTGTTACTTATTCTGACATCGAACTTGGACTTCTTTTAAACTGAGTTTTACTGTGCGTATTGCTGTGTGTATGTTTATTCTACTTTGGCTAGATGTATAGGGGGAGGGTTGAGATCTCACAAAACATATTTAACCCCGCCGCATTTTTTGCGCCTATCCCAAGTCAGGAGCCTCTGGCCTCTGTTTTTTTATAGATATAAGAAGATGTGGTATGAGTGCCAATGAGACAACTCTCCATCCAAGTCAAAATTTATAAAAGTAAACCATTATAGGTCGATGTACGGTCATTCGTGCTCCACCTTCAATGAAGATTCTAAATTATCAATATAACCAACAGTTGTTAATCTATAGGATAGTGGCAGCTAACGAATGCTAACCAACAATAAAGTATATGTGTTTGAAATTTTTTAAAACTTACTCAGAAAGGTGCACGATCTACTTGACTTTCATAGCTCATAATTAACGTGTTAACACATTAATATAATATAGTCGTTAAAGATAATCTGCCTTTAATAGTATGATACACAATACAGATCGTATGCTTACATCAACTTACCTTTATACAGATTTAATTAAAGCCTGCACGTTTTGACATTGTTTATTATCTTCATCCGTGTCGGTATTTTAATATAATCACAACTTTCTGTTAAGACATTTTGGATTGATAAAAAAGGAGGTGTGGTATGATTGCCAATAAGACAACTATCAACCAGGGTGGATGTGAGCAAATTATGTACAACCGTACAGCCTTTAACAATGTAAACAAAACATACCGTATAGTCGGCTATCAAACTTACCGACAAGAAACATGTGAAGTAATTCAGACGAGTAAACTAATGGCCTTAAAAATAAAAATAAAATATTTTACGAAAAACAAATATGACAGACAGGAACCAACGACAACCACTGACATAAAACGTTTTCGTACATATAACAGTGTAAGAATTAAAACAACAATTATCGAAATATCATGAGTATGCTAAAAGTCAAAACCTCGTTATTTATCTAAGCCTCAAATTTAGTCACAAATAATGAAAATGAATAATGGAAATTTATTGTGCTCACGTCATATAAATACTATTAATAACACCGGAAGTTATTTATGAAAAATTCATTTTAATAATCGATGTACACAATATAACTAAATTTGATTTAGACTTGACAATAACGGTTGCAGAGTATATTTAATGACTCCGATTTTACGGTCTCACTGTTATGAATGTAGATCTTCAACATATTTGTTCTGGCCTACAAACAAAACTTCACTCTCACTTCGACCTTTCAGCTGGATTATTCCGAATCCTATCCTTCCTCTAAGAATAATAATTATTACAACATTAACAGTATTAATACTTAATAAATACAAAAATAATAAAGATTATATTAAAAGTTTTCAATGAAAAAATTGTTATAATTAGAGCAATATTAGAGCCCTAACGCCTTGACTATGTACTATGCTAGGGTTGATCATACGCGGAACTATTATGCTCATGAGCGTTTTAAAACTGCATAGTATATTACATCTATATTTGTTATGAAACCTTAAATTACTTTTAGTTACAAAACTACTACTATAACATGAATTGTCCTTTTATCAGAACTATGGCAAGTCGTTTTTATCTTTTTTTTTTATATGGTTTTGAAATATCTTAATTTTAAGTATAATCGATATCTTTTTTTAATGATATATCTTATTTGATTTGAATGTAATTTTTATATTTTGTACAATATATATCT